CCCCTCATTCTCCTACATTCAATTTCTCATTTAAAAAAACCCCCAACCAGATAAAATGAAGGGTCTTGGTAACAAAAAAACAAAAATTGTGCTTGTGTTTGTGTGCATGCAAGCACACAGACATATATCCTTACTGTATATGCAATAGTTTATAGATCACAGAAAATAAAAACAACATTCTGTTTAATCCATTTCTGCTTGCTGTACTTCTAAGCTGTTATCCTCACACTTCTGTGGATTTTGCCTCAGGGATTGGCTTGCTCCATGGCATGCATTCGTGGGCTGCCTTTACTACTGGTCCACATCGGAGGCAGTGGGTGTGTGGGTGTGTTCATCAATTTCCAATGTAGAGCCTGCTGAAGTCTGCAGTTAACACTTCCTTCAGTACTGCCTGATTGTCATGTGCCTAGATAAGGCTAGCAATGCTGCCATCTAATGGAAATGGAAAGTGTTTATTTATGGGCTTTCCACATGATTATTATACAATAGTAATCCACTGATCGCTCATAAACTTATTAGGCACAGTATTGATAAATCAGGAAATGTGATGCTTTTGCAAAGCATCTTGGTGAAAAATGCCTTCATCCTAGGTTACATCCACACCGCACATTTAAAGCACATGGCTTCCCCCAAAGAACCCTGGGAACTGTAGTTTGGTCTGCGTGCAGCTAAGTGGGGTGAACTACAGTTCCCAGAATTCTTTGGGGGAAGCCACAAGTGTGGCATAAGAGTTCTTTAAATGTATGATGTGGATGTGAGCAAAGACGCTTGAGTTCTGAACAAAATGCTTTGATGTCATGTAGGGATAGCCAATGGAGTGGCCTCCAGATGTTGTTGAACTACAACTCCCATCAGCCCTAGTCAGCAAGGTCAGGAATGACCTCTGACCGATGGCAGTGCTAAAGGTAAAATCACGGATGGAGGGTCTCTTTCCCAAGGGCTCTCCAATACCTCGAATGGGCACTCCTTTCGAAAGATCAATACATATCTAGAGATTAGATTGCAAAGCTACTTACCCAAAAGGTCTGGATAGCACAAGATTTCACAAATCAAAACCATGACCTTGGATTGTGCTAGAAAACAAATTAGAAAGCAGTGCAATTTCTGGAGAAGATGATTGACTGAGATAATTTGTAGGTTATGGGAAGGAAAGAATAAACATTATCATGTGTGGAAAGCAAAATACCATGAGCTCTGACTATAAGCAGAGTGTATAAACTGAGGGGCAGCAGGGGGGAAAAACCCAAATCAGCAGCTGCAACTCTGAACCAGATTTACTACATGACATCTAGCAACGTTGAGGTTTTCCAAGACATTCCTGGGAATAACTAGGAACTGACTGCTACATGTGTGCCTTTCAAATGCAAAAGTATAGAAGTGCACAAAGGTCTGACTCATGCAGCCGTTCTTTGCAGCAAGCTTTCTACGGAGCCTGTAGCAGAGAACTTGTTGCTGTGTTCCATTTTCTAATTGCACATCGCAGTTAATTATATACTCATCCACAATGAAGGCAGCTCTATAAATGATAGCCTAAGGGATTTCTGTGGTTATGTTACACCAAACCCACCTATCAATTTGTTCTATGCGAACACATGGTGGCCATCTGTGGGCTAATGGGGTTGCCTCCTATCTGGGACGGCACCAAAGAAGAGGGAGACTTTTCCTTTCCTCTATGCACGTATCATTTGGGCCTGGCGTTAGGTGCTCTTCAGCTGTTTCCCCCAAGTTTTTCCTAGGAGTAGCTGGCTGTGCATTTCAAGGAAAGACTGTAGAAACAACAGCAAGGTTGATTGGTTGATACCGCAAACCTGTAACCTTTTCAATGAACTATGCTCTTCAGATCTACTTTCCAACATCTGGGCTAGAACTCAGGACTCAGCTACATTAGTCAAAAACCAACAGTTTGAATTCATTATAAACATGCAACACCAGGTGACACCAGAGAGCCAAAAATGTTTCAATTCGATTTTTACATAGCGTTCCCCCCCTTTGTTATAACAATATAATTTCTGACTTATTTATAGTGTTTCCACCCTGTATGGAGATCCACCCTCACACTGTCATCTCAAAGAAAGGAGTGCTTCAGTTGCACATGAACTGAAGGCCCCTGTGAACTATATTACCAATATAAACATGTCTCATCCACATCGGTCTCTACAGCCACGGCAGGTGTTGTAACCTTCCAACAGCTTCATCTCACCCCCAAAGGCGTACTCCTCCATCGTCTCCCAAGACAGACGGATGCCAACCATTATAAATAATAATAATAAATGTTTATTCATACCCCGCCCTTCCCAGTTCCAAAAACTGGGCTCAGGGCGGCTAACAACAAATTTAAAACACTTAATTGATGCAACAAAGAACAGCATAAAATACAGTATAAAACATGAATAACAATAAATTCTGAATTCAAAAATCAATTTAGGGGGGAAATCCATCTAATAAACATTGGATGATCACCAGGGCTAGCTGGCTAAATTAGTCCTATTTGGGCCAGCGAAGAGACCAGGGGAGAATTAGCTGTGGGATCCCAGAGCGGTAATCTTCATAAAAAGGGGAGGGGAAGGGAAGGGAAGGAAGGGGAATAAAAGATCAGGCTAAGTTCAAATTGAAAGCCAGGCGGAATAGCTCTGTCTTACAGGCCCTGCAGAAGGAAGTTAAATCCTGCAGAGCCCTGGTCTCATGGGAAAGAGCATTCCACCAGGTCAGAGCCACCACTGAGAAGGCCCTGGCCCTGGTGGAGGATAATCTGACTTCCTTAGGGTCCGGGACCTCTAAAGTATGATTATTCATGGACCTTAATGTCCTCTGCAGGGCATACCAGGAGAGGCGGTCCCATAAATACGAGGGCCCTAAGCCACAAAGGGCTTTAAAGGTCAAAACCAGCACCTTAAACCTGACCCTATACTCCACCAGGAGCCATTCTGCACTGGCTGGAACTTCTGGGACAGTTTCAAGGGCATTTGCACTGTATGAGCACTGATAGAACACATCAGTGCTTTGCATGCAGAAGGTTTCATTCCTGACACTTCTAGTTAAAAGGATAAAGTGGCAGGTGTTAGATATAAATCACAGAACTGTTGAGTTGGAAGGGACCCTGAGGATCATGTAGTCCAACGCCCTACAATGTAGGAATATGCAGCTGCCCATGCAGGGCTTCAACTTGCAGCCTTGGCATCATCAAAACCATGGGTCAGCAAACTAAGGGCTGTGGGCCAGATCAGGCCCAATTGCCTTCTGGAGCCGGCCTGCGGACAGTCCGGGAATCGCTGTGTGGATCGCTAGCGCGCGTGTTCTTTCCCTCTCCCTCACACAGCAGCAGTGGTGCCTCCTCCCTCCCTCCTCCTGGCTTCTCCCCGCCCTGCCTAGAGGAGGAAGGGGGCTAGGATTTGTTGGTGCCAGCGGCAGCGGCGCTCAAGCAGCCACCATTTTAAGCAGCCCCTATCCAGAGCCGCTCATCATCTCCCTGCCGCCACCAGCTCCTGCAGCTCGCAAGACGCAGATAAGCAGCCATGGGGCTCGTCCGGTGCTGTGGAGAAGAGTCGGGGGGTGGCTTATAGTCTGCCCCCCCCCCACGGTCTGAGGGACAGTGGACCAGCCCCTTGCTGAAAAAGTTTGCTGGCCCCTGATCAGAACCATGCTCTAAGCAACTATGCTATCCATATTGAAATACGTACCAAGGGCCTTTGGGAAAGTTCGAAGTTGTTTACAGTAACAATGCAGTATGCCAGGACTTTTTGTCAGCCAGAACTCGCTGGAGCTCAGTTCTGACTCCTCTCAGGTGGCCACCATTGCCATTCTAAGAGATCAAGGGAGGTGTGTTCTGGCACCTCTTTTTCGAGGGGAAAAAGCACTGGACTACACCTACATCTTGTTAGGTTTCTGTTGTGCCACTGTGCAGTTCTTGGAGTCACAAGACTCTGTTGACATTCCAGACTGTTGGAAGTCTCACGGGAGACAGATGTTGAAGTTACTGGTTTCCTCTTTCTTTGTTCCTGTTGTTTTCTGTCTCTCACAGAGAGCAGACACATATTCTTTTCTGTCCTGTGTAGTCAGAAATAAAGCAGCAATGTAGCACATATTTCTGTCTCCTTCTGCTGTTGTCTGGGTACTCTGCGCAATGGAGAGCGTGCCTGAAGTCTCATTCAAAGGCTTAGGTCGTTAGTCACCGTCGGAGGAGAGCCGGAGGAGTAGCCTTCTCAGCTCGGTCATGCAGAGGCTTACGCACATAAAACTTGCGCCAATTTCATCCATACATGGGCAAGGCAGGAAGTCTCATAAGTACAGTGGTACCTCGGGTTAAGTACTTAATTCGTTCCGGAGGTCCATTCTTAACCTGAAACTGTTCTTAACCTGAAGCACCACTTTAGCTAAGGGGGCCTCCCGCTGCCGCTGGAGCACGATTTCTGTTCTCATTCTGAAGCAAAGTTCTTAACCTGAGGTACTATTTCTGGGTTAGTGGAGTCTGTAACCTGAAGCATATGTAACCTGAGGTACCACTGTAGTTGGATGGCCCCACAAAATCTTCCAAGAGCATCCTTACCAGCCCCAGAGCTGACATGCCAAGCAAGCCTTGCCCCAAAAGCAAGGCTGAGACCTTAAAAGCTTGTTTTGTGCCTGCTCAGCGCTTCAGCTCTGGGACTGGCAGAGATGTTCCCTCTCTGCCACCTCCCACTGGCTGCCTTATAGAAGGCAGGCTGGCTAGCTAGCTGTGGAGTGTCTCCAAGGATAACACAATTTTAGCTAGACTTTGCTCTACGTGTTGTGGAATCCCCTCCTGAGAGAGGTTGGACTGGTTAATCTTCTCTCAGCAGACTAAGAGCTTCCTGTCCAGGCATGCCTTTGAAAACTATGGCGCAAATGGCTCTAAATGTGTTCTGATGTACCATATTTTAATTACTGCTTTTAGCTAGTTTTTATTACTTTTATAATGAGGTTTTTCAATGTTGTGAGCTGCCTTGCTAGGCCCATCTATGAAGCAGCTTCTTGGATACATCCTCTCTTGGATAGCTCAGTCAGCAGAGCATGGGACTCTTAATCTTACGGTCGTGGGTTCAAGCCCCACATTGGGCCAAAGATTCCTACATTGCAGAGCCTTTTAATGTTGTATTTTAATCTTGTTTTTAAGTTGTATTCATTCAACTCATTTTTATTATTGGTTGTTAGCCACCCTGAGCCCGGCCTTGGCTGGGGAGGGTGGGGTATTTATTTATTTATTTATTTGAGGTCCCTTCCAACTCTACAATTATATGATTCTATGTTCCACAGAATCATATTTTGCAACCAAAACTGACGAACATTTTTTTTTCCTGAGAAAGAAACTCAAACGTTAAAATTAGGAGCAAGAGTCTCTTAATTCTTGCGTTGCATGCAACATAGGCAGCAAGAAGAAAGCTGGGGAGTAAGAGTGGAGCTTTGTAAGCATTACTTTAAATGAATCTTCATGCCTATTTCACCGGAGACACTTTATTAAAAGAACATTTTATCATAATGAAAATATTGCTCTTGGAATGACGGGAAGGTCAACGTCAATTTCAGTTACCTGCCTTCTTAGTTCAATTCATTCCATAGATTGCAAGGGGAGTAGCTAATTTTGTTTTGCAAAAGGCTCTGTTTCCTTCCCAAGATAAATAGCTATTTTCTGTGTCGACTCTAATGAGTTTTCTCTTCCCTTTCCTTTTTAAAAAAAAATTGGGGTGCTTTGTCGGAGTCAGCCAGAGCAATGTTCAGGTGTACTGCACTGGCAAAAGGATGAGAATGTACAGTTAATGAAAATAATAACTGGATATGAGAATTCCGTGTCGTCATATAGGACTTCTTATTTCCATGGGTTGCAAGAGCCTTGTGACCACCAGTCCAATTATTTCTGGCAATCTGATAGAAAAAAAACATTGTTTTTCTTAGAACTTCTGAGGAACCCCAGGGACGCCTTGGAAGCAAATCAGATGTTTCACAGAGGGAAAATCAACAATGGCATCCAAGCTTCCTTAAGGAAACTCACTCTTCCTAATTAATCGTTAGTAGTGGACTTGCTGGATTTCCCCAGGGAGAGAATTCCAAAATTGAGGTGCCATAGCAGAGAAGGCCTCATCTCGGATTCTCACCCAATGGGTTTGATATGAACCAAGAACAGGGATCAGGGCTTGAGAAGATGGTCCTGAGAACCTGTAAAACAGCCTTTCTCAACCTGTGGGTCCCCAGATGTTGTTGAATTACAATTCCCATCACCCCTAGCTAGCAAGGCCAGAGCTCAGGGATGATGGGAGTTGTAGTCCAACAACATCTGGGGACCAACAGGTTGAGAACCACTGCAGTGTAAAGCAAAGACAGTCCTATAGGCAGATCCCAGACAGCTTAGGACTTTCCTGGTCATTACTAGCAGCTTAAATTGGAACCAGTATAACTGATGTAGGATGGGAATGCGTATCGGATTCAGTCAAAGGTCAAATCTCGAGGCAAGGTTGGGTGCCTCAGACGGCTTTAGGGTTTGCCAGAGTTGAAGTGGGATTTGTCCGAGGCTACACAAGTTTTAGCAGGGGATCCAGTCATTCAAAAAACAAACATACAATAATCAACGAAATGCAAAGCTGTGACCAAGCCTACCATATTAGGAAAAGGCTAGGAGAGGGGAGAAAGAGCAGCTTGCAAAGCTGCAATTTATGTCTCTAGCTTAAGGAAAATACATGGATCAGGTGTGTGTGTGGAAGGGAAGCTCCTTCATGACTGACAGATGTAGCTTTTAGTCAGAGGGAATGATTTTACCAGTGCACTCCAATCCCATGGCGTTTCAGGGAAGGGAGAAGCTTTGAAAGAGCAAAATGTATGTTATCTGCATAAAGGAAAATGCCAGGATCAGGAAGCGGAAGGGAGAGTCGTGACTGACAGGTGTAGTTTGTAATCAGACGGAATTATTTTCCACAGAAAACAAATCCCTTTTAGTCCTCCCCATCCCAAAATAAACTTCAAAGATGCCTAGAGCAAAAGTCCTGGGGCCTATCTGTCTGCAATTTTGCAGCTTTCTTGCCTAGAGGCAGCTCTTTCATGTCTGCAATTTTCAGACCAGAGGAGATAAAGTGACTTTTTTTTTTACACACCAAAAAACCCTGAAATGGCTACCCTTGTATGGAAACCACTGCATCTGTCCTGAAATTTGGCAGGATTCAGGCCCTGCCTACAGATTCGGGGAAGGCAATACTTACGGATGGGAGAGAATTTCAATTCCGTTCACACTGAGAGGCAAGCTTACTTAATCTGCACTTTATACAATATCCAAACAGAAACATAGCAATCCTTTGGAATCTGCACTTCTCTGAGTTTTGCAATTTAGTTTTCCAGCCAATGTGTACAAAAGGCCACAAAGTGTATTCCAGGGGAATTGAAAGAGCAACCACTGGGAAGGGTTCAAACTGAGAGAACAAAAGGGGAGAGTGGAAGGCGATTGGGTAAAAATGAGGAAATGAAAGGGTAGACAGCATCTTAAAAAGTAGAGACATCACCTTGCCAACAAAGGTCCGTATAGTAAAAGCTATGGTTTTCCCAGTAGTGATGTATGGAAGTGAGAGCTGGACCATAAAGAAGGCTGATCGCCGAAGAACTGATGCATTTGAATTATGGTATGGAGGAGACTCTTGAGAGTCCCATGGACGCAAGAAGATCAAACCTATGGATTCTGAAGGAAATCAGCCCTGAGTGCTCACTGGAAGGACAGATCGTGAAGCTGAGGCTCCAATACTTTGGCCACCTCATGAGAAGAGAAGACTCCCTGGAAAAGACCCTGATGTTGGGAAAGATGGAGGGCACAAGGAGAAGGGGACGACAGAGGACGAGATGGTAGGATAGTGTTCTCGAAGCTACCCGCAGGAGTTTGACCAAATTGCTGGAGGCAGTGGAAGACAAGAGTGCCTGGCGTGCTCTGGTCCATGGAGTCACGAAGAGTCGGACACGACGAAACGACTAAACAACAAAATCTAGGAAAATTCATTTTGAGCATGTAGTCCATTAAGGAGGATTCATCTGGAGGTTAGCTTGGGGGAATGGCCTTCCGGGATGGATTTGCGTTTTGAGAACAATAGCTATGGCTTGAGACTGTCTGACTCATTCTAGAAGTGCCCTCTGTTCTATGTTAGTTTGCATCTGCAATTCTATGGGAATCCCAGCTGGCTGAGGCAACTTTTGGATGTTAAAAACTTGCTGATTCCCAGACTGGATTGAGAAGGCAATTAGGCTGCATCCGGCCCCCGGGCCTTAGGTTGCCTACCCCTGGTCTATGGGGCCAAACCATGAGAAATGAACTACAAGGGTTGGGACTCCTACGGTCATCCACCTTAGCCAAATTCGTTTTTGTTTTGCTTCTGAACACAAAATGGAGGCCACTGGCAAAACCCACATAGCAGTACCAAACAGGGAAGTACCAAGGACAGGCCCTTTCTGGTAGTGTCCCCACACCTTTTTGAATAACCTTCCCCAGGAACTGCGTATGCTGCCCTCCCTCTTTGCTGGTTGTTTGGAGGATTTTGAAGTATTTTTTTTTATTCCAGTCTACTCTTGGATAATATTAAGGAACTGAGGTTTTATCTACTACTGCTATCTTATTTCAGAACTTAATGATTCATGTACTGAACATTTTCTAATTGTTTTTATGGTTAGATTGTTTACTGGGTATTTTAAAGTATGCTGTAATCTGCCGTGTGAGGGTTTTTACCCAGGAAAAAATCAGACCAGGAACCTAGTAAAGAAGTAAATAAAAACATTTCCTAATTCCTGAGAACAACATTGCTTCATCATGGTAGGGAACAAGAGATATATTGAATCAGAACATAAGAGCTACAGGGGGGAAAATCCAGCCGTTTCTCACTAAAGCAATGTATTTCCATGTATGCACCACTTAGTCAAACACTAGTAATTGTGGAGAATTAACAAACGAAATGTATTTCTATGAAGCAGGCAAGGCAACCTCTGTTCCTAGAACTGTACGGAAGTAAAGTGTTTCCAAAGTGCAGCTGTTAATACAACTGAATAAAACGGCTATCAATCATTCTCTCTATTGCTGCACGTTCTGCACAACTTTCTCCGTAACTGTCATGGGAATGGATATAAAACAGTAGCGTGCAGTTTTGAAAGAGACGTGGAAAAAAATCCCAGCGAGATGCTGCGCTAGAAGCAGCACCACTATTGAGCAATGCTAGCAATGTTTATAGGGGAGGAGCCATAGCTTCGTTGGCCAGCACATACATTGCATTGGTACAGTGGTACCTCGGGTTAAGTACTTAATTCATTCTGGAGGTTCGTTCTTAACCTGAAACTGTTCTTAACCTGAAGCACCACTTTAGCTGATGGGGCCTCCTGCTGCCGCCGGAGCAAGATTTCTGTTCTCATCCTGAAGCAAAGTTCTTAACCTGAGGTACTATTTCTGGGTTAGCGGAGTCTGTAACCTGAAGCGTCTGTAACCTGAAGCCTATGTAAACCTGGGTACCATTGTACATCAAAGGATGCAAATTTGTCACTGCATCTCTCTGTTTGTTTGCTTAAAAAAAGGCACTGAGTAATCCCCTCCCCCCGAAAATGCGGTGGAAGGCCAAATAAGTTTGGGAACCTCTGTTCCATCCCAACAGGGTTCCTGCCTTCAAGTTCATTTCCTCCTTGTTTTTCCTCAGCTTTTAAAATACCAGTCCCCCTTCTGTGTAGTTTCAGAATAGTAGTCGGGCACTTTTAGTGCAGCATTCTCACAGTGGCCAACCAGGGGCCTATTGCATAACCTCTGATGAAAACCAGGACACACATCTTTGGGGGTCATGCTCTTGCGGGAGCTAGTTGACTTGTGCAACAGCATGGCAGCACTGCAGGCACCAGTGCCGGCTGCAAACACTGGCTCATCCAGTGGCATTGCAAGGTCAGGTGGTACCTGGAGCGAATTTTTTTTTGTCACCCCCCGCCCCAGAGTTGTTGACCTTCTTTTAGGGAGGGTGCCCCAAAGCCCAGAGTTCTAGCTTTCTTGGGGGGGGGGGTGCATGCAGCCGCCGCCAGACATTTTTGCGCAGTCAGCGAGTGGATTTGAGCGATCGGCGACCGGATTTCAGCAG